GTAACTGTGTGTGTGTGGTTAGTACACATAAAGATCCCCATCTCCTGGCACAGAAGGCCCCAGTGACCTCACAGACTGCATTGTGTGTGTGTCTCTGTCTGTGTCTCTGTGTGTGTGTGTGTGGTTAGTACACATAAAGATCCCCATCTCCTGGCACACAAGGCTACAAGAGCATTTGTTGGATGCTGTCTGCCGGAAGGTGGGCCTGGCCGCCCGGATAATCGCCCGGTTCTGTTCATTCCCTGCGAGGCGCCTGGCACCGACCGGCCAGTGTGGGCAGACAGGACACGGGGCTAGCGGGACCCGTGGTCTGACCCGGTGGGGCCGTTCCTAGGATTGTTGGTATTTTTCTACCCTGGATAGAACTGTTGTGATCCACCCCACGCAGCGTGGGGCACGGGCCCCCCACTGCTGGCTGGTACCGGTACCTGGGCTTGGAACGGCCGAGATTTTTATCGGTAAATGTCAGTCAAGGTTCGTTCCGCCCCCCCATGTTACCGTCGATAATGATGAAAACGTCAGTACGACACGAGCTGTCGGAGCCCGGGTCCGCGTTAGATTTCGGGACATTCCCGTGTGGGTTCCGACACGCGATGGCGACACGTGTTTGAACAGCCGTAAAGCGTTAATGTGTTGAGTCTCCCCATCGCTGGCAGGAAATAACCGTCCGACCCCCCCCCGACCTCCCACAACTGCGACGTGCAACGTGATAAAAACCCAACAAACAAAACGGCTGGAAAATCCCCTGGACTGTGCCTGTGGAACGGCCCAACCCAGCCCCCGGGCGAGCCCTGGCATCGGCCGGCGCTCGCTGGGCCTGCTTGCGGCCGGGTGAGCAGAGCAGGGTCTGGCTTTACCCCCTCACCCGCCAGCTCCAAGCCCCCCAGGGGGGTTTCCAGTCTCAGAGAGTATTTCCCAGAGCCCCCCCCCCATACACACCCCCGGGGGGAGGATTGACGGGGCCGGGGCTGCAGTTCTGCCCTGCCCAGGATCACTGGGCACCGCCGAGGGCTCCCCAGAGCTACTGCCAGAGGAATTTGTCCCCGTCCCCCCGCCGCAGCCCCAAACACCAGCTCCCCCTCCTGGACCCCCGCAATGCAGGGCCCACAGCCCCCCAGGCCGGCCCTGTCTGTCTGTCTCCTGGGGGGCAGGAGGGGGTGGGGGTGGGCTCCGGGACCCCCCTCCTCAGCCAGGGGCGGCGGGTGATGGGGAGACCCGGGGGCTGACCCTGCACCAAGGGGCCGTCTCCGCCTGCCCCGCGCCCCGGCCTCGGCTCTGCCCCGAGCGCACTAGCAGGGGCCGCAGCCCCGGGTGGGCGATGCGCTGTAGACGGACCCTATCTGTGCCGCCCCCCGCCCGGCAGCGGGGCGGGTCCATGGGCC